ACGTTGCCTATCACAACACATTTTGCCTACCTCACTACACTTACTACTTTTTTAAAACTCACCATTTGATTTACCTACCCTTAAGAATGTTGAAATCTTGAACCATATTTCTTCCAAAATGAACTTTGGACAATTTCTGATGGAATTTCCAAATTTCTGAGAAGGATTATTCATAATTTGGAAAAGTCAATCAATAAAATTAATGGATGCAAAATGTCTGTAGTTTTTAAGAACATTTACCTAAAATCTATCTATCTATCTATCTATGTGTGTGTGTGTGTGTATATCTATCTATATATGTGTGTATATATAAATATATATATATATGTGTGCGTATATGTGTATAAATATATATGTGTGTGCACTTTTTTAAGTTTGCATGAAATTTTTTTCCTGTATTGTGTCTGGTCCATACTTAATCTCAATTTAAGTTAAAGAAGTATATATTTCATATATATATATATGCGTACATATAAAGAGAGAGATTAAATAATGAAATGGAAAGCTCTCTCTCTCTCTCTCTCTCTCTCTCTATATATATATATATATATATATATATATATATATTTATTTATGAAAGGCTGGTGAAAAGCTCTTTGTTCTATTTACTTTGAAAATCTGACCAAATGAACAAACAAGAATTTTTTAATCCCTACTTGCTCGAGCTAATGACATTGCAAATCGCAGCATCTCCCTTTATATATATATATATATATATATATATATATATTTATATATATATGATGATGGAGAGAAATTGAATATCATATTTCATGTTTTAACCTTGTTTGTTTATCAGCTGATTATTACATCATTAAAATTGTAACACAAATCCTTTGTTGTAAATAATTTTTTACACAGAAAATGTATTATTTTAAAGATTATGAAAATATACATGCAGAAGAATAAATTGCATTTAATGCAGAAATAAGCTCACATTTTTCATTTTTTTGTCATTTTGATTAAAAATAACATTAATTTTATTTGTATTCTAAACTTACAAAATATTAATTCCTCATTCATAAGTGCGGTTCTCCTATCGAATGAAGGAATGTGGGTTGTAATATTGTTTAAGGCATTTTTACTAAAATCTCACTCCCCTAAAAGTAATGATACTCAGTGGTATTTTATCAGCAATAGTAAACTATCCTAGTAATAATTTTTTTAATACCTAGATGAAAGATATTTTATATATATATATATATATATATATATATATATATATATATATATATACACAGTTCTAACCATGTTTCAAAATGGAAGTTAAAGCTTTTTTAATCTTACTGTTCTTTCTTTTTATATATATATATACACACACACACACACACACACACACACACATATATATATATATATATGTTAAGATGAGGAACAAATAGGAAATGTTTCTCTATCCAGCATGTTTCATTTTTATTATATTAAAGACTGAGATTTGGTGAGAAAAAAAGAAAGAAATTCTGGTATTTTTACTTTTGTGTTGCTTGATTTTCATTGGTCGATCATTTTTTACATGTATTTTACTCATATAAACCAACCTTAGTATAATATGTTCATCCTGAATTCAATATATATAAATATATATAGTTAAATATTCTAAAACGAAAAATATATTAATTCATTATACCATAGATTCTAAGGGTCAAAATATGTTTGAAATTTAAAACAAGATCTTTCTCTGGATGTATCATTTTTGATGGTATGTTTACTACAAAGTTAACCTCAAATAAGGGTTTTCTTGGTAATTTTTATCAATGAAAGATAAGAGATGGATATGTAATTGTCTACGGTACTAGACAAACTTTCAAAAAAGGCCTAAAATTTGATTTTTTTTCTTCGAGTGGGGAGTTGCTAATTTTTGTCAGTGTGGGATCATGTAAGACTTGTGAAACAAATTTTAACATTTTTCATGAGGCAAGTCATCAGATGATTATTATCAACATTATTTTTTATGCTGTTGCTAATGGTTTAGCTTCTGTAGGTGGCACTTACTGTTAAGTATGAATGCAGAATATTTCCTTATAAGGAAATGGCTAATATTACCATTACAATATATATATATGTGTAGGAACTGACCCATAGACTTTTGTTTTTTAATTCTAAGGATAAATCAATGCACACAGTAGCTAAAAAAAAAAGGTACCATTTCCACCAGACTGACAAGTTCAAGCAGAAGTAGATAGTTTTGCCTATTGTCTGGTTCACATTCCTTCCCTGTCTTTTGAACAGGAGTAGAGGTTTATCCCTTGATTGGGTTTTTGGCTCCTTCTAAAGTCTAATTTGACCCTATACATCTAATGTCTCTACCTAAACTCTTAAATTTTATTTACAATTTTTTTTTTCACCCAATAACAGTAGATAATTTCATCTATCATCTGGTTCACACTTCTTCTCAGTCTTTTAAACAGATGCATAGGCTTATTCATTGTTTCCTGTTTAGGATTGGGTTTCTGATTCCTTCTAAAGTTTTTTCATTCTCTTTCACATCCAGTAGCCCCTTGTGCATTAGTGGCATTATTGTTTTGCTTGGGGTGAATTGATTAAAAAAAAAATGTCTAAATGATCTGATGAGATACATTAAGGTAAACCTTTTATAAAAAAGAAAAGTGAAACAAATCAATTTATATATCACTGTAATCTCAGGGTGTACTTTTGTTTTTTGGATTATTTTTTTTCAAAATAATATCTTTTTAATCTCATTTTTTTTATCCTGAAAATGAATTAATTTCTCGAAACCTAATATATTTTGATAAATAATAGTAAATAATAAAATATATCATCTGTTACAATAAAATATATATTCTGTAATAATTAATACAATCATTCTTATCTAGGTTCTGATACAAAATTCATAAAAAGACTGTAAACCTCTTATTGTTCCACTGAACTTTCATTACATCTGATACATATAAATTTTTCTGTAATAGAGTAACTACTTTAAAAATATTGGCATAATTTTTTATTCATATAGACATATATTGAATTACATAATTTTACATACATATCAATAAGTAATGTTACTATTATTAATTTTTTTAGCTTTCTAAATAAATAGAAGCAAAAATATCAACTAAAACATATTTTGCATTTTTTTCCCTCAAAATAAAACAAAATCATTTTCCTGAGCCATGATAAACTTAGTTATGAAGAGATATGCAATTATCTCATATAATTAGAAGCAGTATTTTTAGTGTAAGAAATGAAGATTATTACACTGTTTAAGTTCTTCAAAAACTATTTCCAGTTCATGCTTAAGATTTATTTTAAATTTTAAAAAATTTTCATTTCTTATTAAAATTCTTTGTGGAAATGGAAAAAACATGATGCTTTTTCCAATCACTACAATTTTAATCTCTTCAAGTCTCAGTTTAACTGTTATCTTCTCCACAGATCTAAGGTAAACTGTAAATTAGTTTACTCTGCAACCATTTTTAAAAGCGAGTATCTCTCAGGCCTTTACAAGACTAAAATTTTAGTGTTAAGAAATTTTTACACATTTTTACGTGTTAAATTGCTTAGGTTCTGATCATCGTATTCATATGTTTGTTGGTAGAACCATATCTGTTTGGAATGAGAAAATTGGATAACTTATATTCAGAGATTATATTCACTTATGCACAAATACCTTTGGGAAAGCTATAAATTCATTTCTTCTCCCCCAGCTGTGGGTTGAATAACAGAACAGAGTCCTGTAGCTTTGGTTGGCAACCAGTCTAATGCAGAAACAAAAAGCAACCTATTGCAGGAAAAATCTGCCTCGTCAGACATGAATCAAAAGAGACATGATCACCCGAGCGGATATCACATATGGCACTTAACTGACTGATTGATGAGACAACTTTGTGACAGAATTTGACTTTTGGCTTTAAATGTAATTATCATTTGCAATATCTTAGCTAATACTGTCAGCAATAAATTATTATTTCTTCTTTTCTACATAAATTACAGAATTTTATTTAATTATACCCCAGACATAAGCATAGAATACAGAAAGTTAATCTCATTTTGTTAATGACTTTTGAAAAAAAAACAAAACCAAAAAAATCCTTGAAAAGTGCTAACTTTTGAATTAATTTTATTCAAAAAAAAAAAAACTAAAAAAAAAAAAATACAAATTTTCATTCATTAGGAATTAGAGAATAATTTTTATTTATATAGGTGTCATATATATAACCTTTATTTATTAGATGTCTTGTATGGCAATCATTTATTTGGCGGAGATGTCTCATATGGCAACCTTTTATTTTGGTGAGGTGTCTCATTTGACAACCTTTTATTTGGGGGAGATGTCTCACATGGCAACCTTTTATTATTTTTGTTGTTAATATACTCCTTGTTTTCATGCAGCTGAATATTGTCTCATTTGACAACCTTTTATTTTGGTGAGGTGTCTCATTTTACAACCTTTTATTTGGAGGTAATGTCTCATATGACAACCTTTTATTTGGAGGTAATGTCTCATATGACAACCTTTTATTTGGAGGTAATGTCTCATATGACAACCTTTTATTTTGGGGAGACGTCTCATTTGACAACCTTTTATTTTGGGGAGATGTCTCATTTGACAACCTTTTATTTTGGGGAGATGTCTCATATGGGGGTTTTATTTTGGGGAGACGTCTCATGGGAAAACAGAAAATTTTGGGGAGGGGTCTCATTTGACAACTTTTTATTTGATGGGATGTCTCACAGGCAAAAATTTATTATTTTGTTGTTATTGTACTCCTTGTTTTCATGCAGCTGAATATTTGCATCAAGTATTTGTTTGGTGTCACTGAGGATTAGTCTCATCAGATCTCCAGCCCCCCCCCCCCCCAAGTCTTCTTGGGGGAAACTTACTCATAATACTGCTGTAGTCAGGACTGTATCAGGCCTTCTTATCCTCAACACTATCACCAACAAAAATGATCACCACTGCTAACAACAACAAAAAATCATCAGCAGCATCATCCTCACATCATCATTCTGATTTAAATATCAAAGGCTTACAGCCACCTCATCTTGAAACTTTGGTTCCCATACAATCACTGAAGTTAAGCAACATCAAGCTTGGTCAGTACCTAGATAGGTGACCATCTGGGAATACCAGGTGCTGTAAGCTTGGATGTGTGGGTTGTGTAATGGATAATGGCTTGGAATTGTTAATCGGAGAGCCAAGTTCCAATTATTGTTAGGTTCATTATAGTCACTTAACATGTAAAAGATGAAAAAACAGGAAAGGTATGAATCCACTTCTTCAGAAACTCCCCACTTGTGGGTAAAATAGTAAAAACAGATGACTAAACTGTTAAAACAGAAAAAATTTTTTTTTTTTGCAATCTAAAAATATTTTGTGGCTTTAAATAACCTGTGAAGGATTGATAATCCATAGAACATGAATCAGTCATGATTCAAATATCAAGTTAAATTATAAGACATTTTTATTGTTTCTTTTTATGGGCAAATTTTAGTAATATGATGAAATTTCTTGAATTTACCTTAAGATTTTGAAGGTCTTTTCAAAACTGTAAATCATATCTTAAACTAATTTTTACTTATAAGACTAGTAAACAAATTAAACTATTAAAATTTAATTTAAAAAAAAAGAGAAACAAAAAGTAACTTCCTGGAAAAAGAAAAAAAGTATAAAGAAAAATGATTCCCCAAAAAAAAAAAAAAAAAACAAAATTATTAAATATGGGGATTGGTGGTGTGATAGGCAGCTTCATAAATCTATTAACATTTACTTTGCTCAGCAGTTGGATTTCATTTACCCTCCAGCTTTGATCTGAACTTTTTTTTTTAATCTTTTCCTTTTTGATTTTGCTTGCTTTTAAAATACATTATTATTGCTGTCATAATTTTTTGAAAAGTTTTTATTAAGTATAAAAAAAGTCAAAAATAAATAAAAAAATGCAAATGTTCATTAAAAATCATGAATAGATTTTACTTGCTGTGGTAATGCCCTCAAAGTCAATGTTGATGCTATTTTAACTGTGTTCTTCATGAAGATATTTTTAGCGATTGGTAATGTACCAGTGATTTACTTACAGATTGATGACATTGTCAAAATCCAACAGCCCCATCATTAAAAAAACAAAAAAAAATCACTCTATTTCTTTAAAAACAAAAGTAAAGTATCATTACTAAATTCTTTAAATTAAAATTGTAAAAAAATCATCAACATTTTATCTTATGTTAATGCTTTGAAATAGTCAACAATATTATAATGAAATTTGGTATAAAGAAAGATTTTAAGTTCCCAATAACAACAGTATCATAATCAGGTCAGTATTTTTTCCTTTTGTTTTAAAAACATGTTGCCTCGTATCAAAAAAAAAAGATTAAACGGAGAGAAGATGGGCAAATGAAAAAGAAAAGAAGAATTTGAAAAAATATCTTTCAAAGAACCATGCATTATAGCCTGATACCATTATAGACCATGGTACTTAGTAAACCAGTCAGCTAGCATGATTTTAAATATTATCAAAAATAGTAGAAATTGTAGAAATAATGGATTGTTTACAAATCAAATTGAGAATCCAAAAGCTGAAACAATGATCCAGTTGAATTCATTACATTCAAAACAGACTAAAAACCTTTACCCAGGTAAAAATTCCAACTCTTCTCTCCCCCAAAACTAGGTAAATTTAGGACAGACTGGGTTCTATAGCCTTGGATGGCAACTGGTTAAGGAATAGCAAACTCTGAATTCAAAATTTATTGTAGTCCTGGCTGAAAAAATTCTATGTGATTTTTTTTACTGCCCATATATACAAAATAAATTTAAATGATCATTCACATTGACGGAATGATCTCAACTACTGTCAACATTTAATTTTTGCTGTTGTATTGTCTATATTTACTGTATAAGTAATCTAAGATTTTGATGTATACCATCAACTCTATTGTAAAAATGAAGAATGAATTTTGCTTTTTAAATATTTAAATAGTAATAGTATCCAAAGAAAGCTAACATAAAACAAAAGCAATAAAAATCAGTGTATTAGCAGCCTGATCTTCCCAACTTACTAATGAGATATTCTGCTTTTATGTTAATCTGAAACATGTTTGCTTATTAGTATTGAGCACGGCTGTTACCATAACAACAGAATATCACATGAGTTAGTAAGAGTGATCAGGCTGTGCGACCAGTAAACATATAAAGTCAGATTGAATTTAAAATTGAGTCAGATTGATTTTTAAAATCATAAAGAATAAATATTAAGAATATTAAGATTTAATTATATAATAATTTGAATAATAATAATAATTAAATACTGTATGTTACTGTATTGAATATTAATAATGTTAGATAAATAGTCATGAAATTTAAATCTTCTGAACTTGAAATCAGAGTGCTTAAGAAAATAGACATTTAAAAAAATATTAATAAATATATTCAATAATTCATTTGGGGATGAATTGTGATTCATTTAAAATATATATATTTAAAAAATTAAAAAAAATTATCATATATTTCTATATATATATATATATATATATATATTTAGTTTATAAGTATCTGTCTAATCTATCTTTCTCCTCAATATATATATATATATATATATATATATATATATATATATATATATTTTGAATAAAAGACAGACCACGTTAAGATTCCATGTAATAAGCTATTTCACCATAACCCCTTTAACAGGGTTCTGGATCATCAGACTTTACTTCCAAAAGCTGAAATGAAAAATGAAAAGAAATTCACACGTTTTTTACGGACCTCATCAAGTATACGCAAAGTTAACGAAGTGAGGAAGTGAGGTGGGAGAGAGGATATGAGTGTGTCATATGTATCATTTTAGTTTCCTATTTTAACCCCAGTGTGTCGGCTGGATGTTGCTCAAATTTAACGCGTCTCGTCTCTAGATAAAAAAAGGTGGTTAAGGGGTGAGCGATAAGAACTACATTAAAGGAAGACGTTACAACAACCCCAATAAATTACACGACAGGTTTCATTCAAATTCTTAGACGCTGTCAGTTCGCGTTACTTTAACGTGCATATTTGGGAGGTTAAGGTTTGATAAATATCTAAATTTTAAAACAATCTACGAAGAAATTAATTTGAAATTCGGTGGAGTTTTGGGTATTTCTCTATGAAGCAGTCGATTGGAAAAAAAAAATCCATAGACAGAACATTGAAAGAGTAATCCAATTTATATTTAGTACTTTTTTCACTAAAACTTTTATCTTATAGCTTGTTAGGTTGACATTTATTCGTTTGATTTTTTGTTCATTAAGTAAACTCGTGATTGTTTTTTGATTTTTGTTCATTAAGTAAACTCGTGGTTGTTTTTATGTATCCAATTATCAACAGTTATTCCCATTTAAATAATTTTATTTTCCACATTGGGGTAGTATCTTTTTAATCTCAATTAAAATACTAATCTAAAACTTTCCCTTCGTGCTATTTAAAATTCACTTCCAATTGGAGAATATTAGAGGAGAAATTTGAAAGAGATGTCACTAGCCGAAAATTAGGCCCTTCTTTTACATTTTCTTATCTACACATGTCTTAAACCCCTATTTTAACCACATACCTATATCTTCTTATATGCCTATGAGTTCCTATATACACCTTCACACACATTCACACGAAACGATATATGTATATTTCCATCTTTACACATATACACCTGCAGAAAAAACGCACATCCACATGTCTCCATACCTATCTCCATGTATACTTATACTTACATATATACATATACACACAAGGACATCTGCATATCCATATATACTCATACACACATATATATATTTACACATCCATATGTATACACATATACACATATACATACACACACATATGCATACATACATACATACATATATATACATACACATATATATATGCATACGCAATCTGCAGAATATCTACATACCCACATATGCGTTAATTTGCACTTACATATATCTACCCACGTATTTGTCCCTATCCTCATGTCCACCTGTGCATCCACTTATGCCTGCGTTCGAAGACTATCTCAGTATTTAATTACTTTATCTATATCTTTACACATATAATATTACCCGATCTTTCATATTTATGGCAAAACATATAAGTACCTATCTAATTGTACATCTCCACACTCACAAAAAAAAAAAAAAAAAAAAAAAACTTAATGCTTCTTTTTCGTATAAAAATATAAATGTACATATCAACAGGTGTCTCAGTGTGCAAATACATTATCATAGTTGTATACATATAGTCATGTGTTAGCGTTCACGTGTGCATAGTAATATTTTCAAAACAAAGGGAATATAAAACATTCAAAATTGCTGTTCCTATATGATTATTTATATATTGTATATTGCTTTAGGTTTAGGTTGTTTTTATATATATAATAATATACTTGTTTAAATAATCAGATATTTAATTTCCATGTAAAATTCAATAGAACATTCAAGAAAATTCTCGTTTTTATGTTTAATATTTGTTTTTAAAAATATATATTTTAATTCAATAATTTTTAAAACCGTCTTGCTATTTAATAAAAAATTCCATATTATAAGCAAAAACAAAACCCCATGTGAAAAATTCAGGAAAGTTCACTGTTCACATTTCTGCCTCGTAATTTATCTTATATATTTTAATATCATGTTTCTAAAATTTATGAGACTTTTTATGTCTATCATATCCAGCTTGATTTTTTACTTCCTTTATATATTTATTAGATAAATCAATATATTTATTTTTTTACCTTGTTTATATTTACATTGATATCTTGGCCCATCTATTTCTTATGCTTTTTTTTTTATATATATATATTTTGGCTTCTTGGTTGTAGTGAGATTTTTCATAATATATATTCATTGTATCCAAAAAATATATATATATTTATTTATATTAATTTTTTTAACATTTATAGAATTTTTAGCTAAAAATTTTAGAACAAGAGGTAACAATTCTATTCAGCATTATATTTTTAATTATAAAATATTTAAATCCTCCCCAAAAAAAATTGTTAGTTGCCCAATCTTCTTTCCATCCTTGGAACAAAATTTAAATAAATGCATTTTGTTAAATGATATATAACAAAATTTTTAATTTTTTCTTTGTTTCAAATTTACATTCAATTAATATTTTTCCCCCCTTTTAATA